GCAGTGAACACACACAGTAAGTGCTTTCCTCGTACCCCAAGCATCAAGGGGGGCCAAGTTCAGCACCTATGGCATTCACTGAGTGACAGCTCTGGAGGGTGGGTATGCATCTCTCAACTGGCACATGACCAAGGCTCTGTGAGTCCACAGATGGGCAGTTGGAGTGCCCTTGGTGGTGGGCACAGTATCATTGGAATGGCATCAGAGAGTCTAGCAGGAGCCAACAGATTTAGCTGCCAAGAAAGGCAGTTGCAGTGTCAGCAGCTGCAGATGATGCTGATGGCTTTGGGAGTGGCAGGAGAGAGCAACCTTGGCAGCGGGCACCAGCAACAATGGCGAGCTACCCTGACGAAGAGGGCTCCAGGAGCCATAGTTTAATGGGACAGTGTCTCTTTCATCAACGTTCTTCCTTTATATACTGAGTATAAAGTGAATCTGTTACAATATTGGTGAATGCTTGAGCCTTCACAAAAAAAGAGTGATGCATGAAAAGTTCTTGATAGAGAGAAATCAAAACAGTGTTGAGCTGACCAGTGGTGTGGGGGTTAGGGTGCTAGACTCACACACAGCTGACTACAGTTAGACCTAGACCTCGTGGCTTGCTTTCTCGCTTCCTCTCTCTCTCTCTCATCAAATTAAAAAATAATAATAGATTAATTAAGTAAATAATTATTTTAAAAAATAGTGTCAAGACCAAAGTGGGCAAAGACAGCACAAGGACAGATTTCATGGTGAAAATGCTATCTCTTCCAGCTCTGCCAATAACTGAGCTTGGATGTCACCAGCACAGAATTCTATCAGCACACAGAAACTGGGAATACCAGAGTCTCAACTGTGGAGAGCAGCCAACTTGAAAACATGCGATTAAAACATGTGGCCTGAAGACACTTACAAATATGTGCCTTCATAAGCTACTCTAGCAGGGCTATTGAGAAGCATCTACATACGAAAGCAGTACCTGCCTGTTGTCAATGGTTGTCTTCCTGTTGTTGATACCCAATACCTTGATACTGCCCAGTATCAGGCTAAAGGAAGTCACAAGCGTTTATTAGATTATCCCCCAAAAGGATCAGAGAAAAAAAATTTTTTTTGAGGTTTTCGCTATAAGGGCATGCGCGCTCGCCAGACAGACAGAGAGAGAGAGACAGAGAGACAGAAAGCGAGAAATCACTCCTGGGGGGGGGGGTCACACCGCAATCCCTTCTCCTCCATTCTCCTCTCGGGATCTTGGGCACGCACGCACACACACCCGGCGTGAGTTTTGAGTCACCGGGTCCGGGACGCAAACCGTGGTCCACTACGTGGGAGTCCAGCGACATAGCCATTATGCTAACTGCTGGTCCCAGGATCAGAGAAATTATATGGCACCAGTCATTTTCACATCTTCAGTCGATTTACATCCAAAAACAATTGGTTTTGCATCCCAATTTCTCCTCCCTTATTCTCTTTGCATTCCACTTCCTTCTTCCCCATTCTTTTTACATCCCATTTCCCCCTTCCCCCATTCTCTACCCTTTAAAAGAATAAACCTGAGGCTGGTTCTGGTCGCAATTTCTCCATCAGAGAAGTTGTGCCCACCCGATCCTCGCTTTTCTGTACTTGTGTGTCTTTGTGTGTTTGTTATTGCGTCTATTTCTAATCTACAGCCTTCCCCACTCAGAGAAACGTGTTCATGCCAAGCTGGTCCCGGCACTCAACCTTCCCTGTCATTGAATGAATAGCATACTCTAGGAAAAACAAAGAACATACAAGACATACAAGCACAAGACTTCAAACACCTTGAACTATCTTGGGCCCAGTTTCTGTCTCTGTGCTCCCCAGAGAGTAGTAAACCTTATGTTTCCCTAAAGGCAAGAAACCAATGTGTACACCACAAAATGTGCTCAATTATAAGACAGAAATTTCTGAACAATAGATTTTTAAAAAATCACAGAGAAAAAGTTAACTTTCTCAAAATTAGCAATAAGCAATAAGGCAACCATTCTCATACTGATGTCTAGTAATGGTGTAAAAAAAAGTAAGTTTCCTGCAGGCATGTTGCAGTTTATTCTTCTTTCGAAACTCCCCCCCCCACAACATATATACACAAAGTACAGATGTTTATTGACTTACCTCTGATAAAACCTACATAAATCAATCATTAGGTTGAAAATGCATCATAAATTTAAACTATCATAAATTGTAACCCCTTTGATTTGTGATGGGATTAAGGTTTCAACGGAGCGTGTATCCTTTTCATACCATCGTAGAGGTAAAAAAAATTGTACATTGGACTGTTGGAAGTTGGGAGTATCTGTTATCAACAGATTAATGAACACCTAGAAGGCTCTCAAGAAGCTGAGCACCAAGGCCAGGAGCACAAGTCTCCCACAGTACTGCCACCCCACGGAATGGGCTGGGAGCCAAATGCCTTCCCAGACAATGGCCAGCCTTCTTTCTCTATATATAAAATAGTACGGTCAGAGCACACCCAATAGAGCTATCATTATTATCTCTTTCCTTTCTGCCCCTTCTCTCCATCTCATGGAGGATCTTAAATAGCTCTGAAAATCTATTTCATCATATTAAGAAAGACTAGCGGCCAGGAGCAGTGGCACAATGCTAAGGCAATGACTAGTGATGCTGGACGCACAAGATTCTGGGTTCACATCCTGAGGCCTCCCTGTGCATGCTGGGCACACTCACAAGCCTGTGATCTGGCCTAGCTGAGATTGGGGTGGAGCCCCTTTTGGGGTATTCCTTTCTTTGTCAGTTATGAAAGCAATTTTAAAAAGAAAAGAAAAGAAGGAATGAACGAACTGAGAAACCACTGCCAAGGTAAATTACAATGTTCCTTAGAACATCTGAAAATGGAAAAGGACAGAAAGCACACATTAAAGAGTATCTGTAGAGGTATAAATGCCCCCAAAGGAACTAGCTAGTGGCATGGTGGTTAAGACACTGGACACTCCCATACAACTGATCATGGTTCAAGTCCCAGACCTGGTGGCTTGCTTTTTCACTTTCCCTCTCTCTCTGTGTCTCTCTCTGGTCAAATTTAAATTATTGAAGGAATAAATAAAATTAAATAAATAATTCTTTTTTTTTTCTTTTTTTGGAGAGGTTTTTGCTATAGGGTGCGTGCATTTGCCAGAAAGACAGAGAGAGACAGAGAGACAGAAAGTGAGAAATCACCCCTCAGGAGGGATGGCCACACCGCAATCCCCTCTCCTCCATTCTCCTCTCGGGATCTTGGGCGGGCATGCATGCACACATGCCTGGCGTGAGTTTAAGCCGCCGGGTCCAGGCCTCTTACTGTGGTCAACCACATGGGAGTCCAGCGACATAGCCATTACACTAACTGCTGGTCCCTAAATCTTTTTAAAAAAAAAATAACATAAGCGCCCCCAAATATTAGTCAAGTTAAATTCAAAAGCTATTTGTGACACTTATTTCCTTCCCTACTCAGTCAATTATAACAAGGAAGAATGCCATAATATCCTGGTAGGGGCAAGATTAAAATTAACAATATAAACTGAGAATAAAAACTCACAGGACTCTCAATTTTTTTATTAAAGCAAACTTTCCTATTTTTAATCATTTACACAAGCGAGATCATGTGAAAAATAACTTGATAGGTGGTTTAAGGCTATAGTCACAAACATTTCAATTGTGGAAAATCAAATGTGGGCAAGATTGAAACAGCTAGCTACACACATTTTCCCTAAGGATGTGATCGTTTTCACTCCATGGGTTGTCAGAAAAGTCATGATGCATTTTTGCATAGAAAAACATAAAAAGAAAAAAAAAATCAAGACATTTTGGACAACCCATTTTCCAGGAAACCTCCCTTCTTGAGAGATGTTTTTCCTTCCCTCTCCTTAAATAAACTCCCCACTTTGCTAACAAATTCTCCACTTTGCTAATAAACTCCCAGCTTGCTATACCTGCACACACACACACACACACACACACAAGACTTTTCTGACAACTCAATATTAATCAAGCATTATGAAAAGAAAACTGCTATGATATAGTTATTGTCTTGGGGAAGTCATAAGTTTGCAATATAAATGGAGGCTAGCAATAATCTCAAAAATTAATCTGCTAATGTGTTAGTAATTATTGAAGTAATTTGATATATTACAGAAAAACCTGCCAAACCATACAAACTTTTATCTACCTATGTCTATTAATAAACAAGAACAAATTATTTTTCCATAACCTGATTGATTTTTCTTAATATACCCACATACTTAAGACAATCAAAACATAATCCATGTATGGGCAATTTCCACATATCACAAAGAAGGAAAGTAAAATTTGGCCAAAGATACATATACACACAAAATTAGGATACATTCGCCCTCGAATTCTTTGTTGTTTTTTTAAGTTGTATTTTGTTCTTAATTTCTTATGGACCTTTCACTTAGCAAGTAAAAATATCTAGATTCCTATTCTATTTGAACAAATTTGATTAAAGTTCCTAGGAAGGTTTCCAGGGAGTTAGGTTGCTTTAAAATTGGCCATGCATTAAATAAAGCTTTGTCCACAGAAGTGGACGAGTAACTGATACGGCATCTGTACATCCACTCTGCACAAGGTTTCTTTATCTCAGAAGCATTACTCAAAGACACACAACAAATCAGATTCCAGCTCCGGAGAAGCATACTCTGCCTCTTCCAGCCACACTGCCAGCTCACACAAACACTATAGCAAGACCAAGCACCAGCTTCCTGAGGAATTTGAAATGTACCTTCTCCATTAGCTCCCCAAAGATTCTCCTACTTCACACACATACCCCTTTCATTCATTCCACTGCATTCACCTTTTGTCTCTAAGAGATTCATTACAATAATTGTGCAAAAGTTCACTTTAACAACAAAACCAAACCGTGAAGCCTTCAGCATTACATTTTATAATGAAACAAAACCCCAAATTCTCAGAGTCTACTGAACTAGAACTAAAAGCCATTGCAGAAAAAGACTGATTCCTGGATACCTGGATTCTTTTCATATTACCTGCTTCAGTGTACTTCAATCCCACTTTTTCTTCTGTGTCTTTTGTCTTTGGGGGTGGCCAGACAGCTTGGAGTCTGCCAGGAGTTCTATCGTCCTGCTCAGTAGGGCTCTGGTCAGGCTGTTAAAAATGTGAGCAAAGAATAAGTTAAATGAACTGTGGCCAGTCCCAATTAATTTCTGAAAACAAACATGCTAACTCTAATTCTAAAATTAATTTTAATGATCAACTGCACAGTGCTCTCATTCGCTATAATTGAGACACTTTACTATAATCTTTTTTTTCCCCAGAAGTGTAAAGTGATCAGTTGGGATGAAAATTAAAAATTTTTAAAAATAAATCTAAGTAGTACAGAATCTTTAATAGAGTTTTTTTCATTGTTTCTGACCATTAACAACAGGCCAAAAAACACTTCCCCAAGAATTCCATACTGCCAAATGCTTCCCCTCCTTTCTAATTAAAAAATGAATAAGATCGCTTTCATATTCGAGTTATTTTTATAGGAATTGAGTTTTTCTTGAAAAACATAAGAATAAAAAGCAATTCTGAACAACTCCATACTCCTTCCTTACAAAGATAATTTCAATCTAATCATTTTTGACTTAGAAGAATCACTAACGATAGCTAACTGGGATTCACTTCAACAGACAACCTGAAAAGAAATAAAGCGTTATGACATTTTGTGAGAAAAGAGGCAAACCTCCACACTACATACACTTTTGGGCTCACAGGGACCATCCGTTGGCCTTGACTTGGACCTTTCAAACACAGCTCTTAGTGACTCCTTCTCATGTCTCATCTTGCGCTTGAGAGCTTCCAGCTCAGAGGTATCAGCTGTGGTCCCCTTTTTGGGGGGACGGATGAATAAGGCTTTAAAGGCCTCCAGGGCAGTCTCTGGTGGCTTTAGCTTGACTTCACTGCCCTGGGTTTGGGTTCCTCCAGGGCCATTTTGGCTCTCCTGGTCACCACCGCAGCCCATCTCTTCTCCCCTGGACGACTCAGGGTTCGCTGCCTTCAGTTCGGTTCTGGGCATGTCAATGTTCAGCAGCTGAGAGAGCTGCTCCAGGAGAGTGGGAGGGGCCTTCGGATCAGTTGCTTTCTCCCTGTTCTTCACTGCCTGTGGGTCTGCCTGCACTAGCGACTTCTGCACAGGCTGGGTCAGCTTGAGCAAAGCCAGGTCTCCATCCTTGGGTTTAATCTCAGTGATGGTCTCTCCTTCCTCTGCTGCAGCCCCCTTCTTCAGCACACGAAGCCCACTAAAAAAAGCTGGAAGCTGGAATGACTTCTCTCCAGGGACCTCTTTTTTAGAAGAGGCACCATCAGTGACACCAACACTCAAATTCTGGTCTGTTACTGCAGGTGGGACTGAGGACCCTTCTTCCTGGCTGTGGCTGTGTTCTGTCTGAGGGCCACCATCTCCAGTTTTCAGCATGCTACTTCTCTCAGGTAGACTCCTTGGAAGATCTGTGCAGAGTTCTGCATCATCCACTTCCCCAGAGGCAATATTTTCCCTAGAACCTCCTGGTTTTTCTTTAGGCTCCTGAGATGGCTCAGATAAAATCACACTAGGGGACTTTGGGCCATTGATACTGCTTCCCACTTCTGGTTCCTGGCCAGCATCATCAGAATCAGAGTCACTGGTGGTGTGCACAAGGGTCCCACGAACCCAAATGACATCGTCTCTGGTCACACTCAAAGTAGGGAGTGGAAGAAGCTCTTGCCCAGGCAGTGAAGTCTCCACTTCTGCTTTTCCCTGGCTTCTGTCTGATTCCATCTCCACTCTTGCAGTCCTGGCATTATTTCCCAGATCAGATGGAACCTGAACCTCTGCCTCCTGATCCTCCGAACCATTACTGGGGTCATCTTGCTGAGGTGCGGGATCTATCTCTAAACTGCGGAATGCTTTCAGCACAGCATCTTCCTCTTCAGGCTTCACAGAGTCCAATTTACTGGTAAATCCAAATAGGGATTTCATGGAGAACTTACTCAGGATCGACTGAGCCATTTCAAGCCCAGCTTCGGGTTTTTCTGGTTCCGAGACATCACTGCCACTCAGAGAGTTTCCACTGTCCTCCATGTCTCAGCAATGCCCTTGGTGGAAGTTCTGACTTGGGTTACCTTGCCCAGCTCGCTCAGTTAATCCACTCCATCTGCTCCTAACTCACAGGGCAGAGAGAACAGGACCCCAGGGGCCCGACTCCCAGCACGCAGCGAGCACACTTGGCCTCTTCAGGTCACTGTGCCCTCCTTCCGGTTTGCGCGATGATGGTGCGCCCAGGGCAACTGTAAAAAGTCTGTAGCGCGCTCTGCCCAGAAGCAGCCGGGGCTGCGCACCTTACTACACACGAACTGGAGAGGCTGCTCTTCTGGGACTTCCGTATTGATTTCCGTGCACAAAGAGCCTTTTGTCCTAGGGATCGTCAGCCTGCCTGGTAATCCCAGCCCGGGACTTCACGACAGCTCCGCCCCAGTGCCTGTGGTTCTCCTGGTTGAATCAACTTCCTCATTGGCGAGCAAGTTGAGGCTCCCGAAAGTGCTGAGCCGGCAAGCTGATTCTGACAGCCCTTCACCACTGCCGGGAGCAGCCCAAGGGACTTAAGTGAATCAGCGGAAAATGACCGAAATACTTCTTACACAGTCCCGTTTTCCCTCTGGATTACAATCTGAGACCCGAGCTGTCCGGGACAAAAAACTAGCAGTGAACCCAAATGAACAGCCACTTACAAAGCCCAAAGCAAAGAAACAAATAGATCAACTCAAAATGCCCATAACTCTGAAAGCAGTTAATTTACTGCCTTTGATGTTTGTGTTTTTTTGTTTGTTTGGGAGGATTTTTTCGTTTATTTCTTTGGTTTTGTTTTGTTTTAAGTGCTTTCTTCCGCTTCAGTACAGGTTTTATCTGGAATGCAGATTTCAGCTGCAGGGAGCCCAGAAGGAAAACCAACATGACTGGTTTCAGATTACTGCTGTTTTAGCTCTGCCCAGGCTGTCTCAGTGCTCTGCAAACAGGTACTTAGGCAAGCACGCCCACCACGCCCAGTGTCCACCAACCATAGTGGAAGAGTACTGCCTCGGCCTGGCTAAACGACTACCCTCCACACTCCTGTGCCAACCTTAGGCTTCCTCGTGCCCAGCAGCTGTGACTTCCTGTCTTCCTTAGGAATCCTGGTGGCAGGGCACCCCTCTCTGCTTTGTTGTTCTGAATAATTAAATGAAACCTGCCTGGCACCATCCAAAAGCAAAGTCTGTCTTGTTAAGCAAAGTAATTAATCAAAGATCCCTGAGGATCCACACTCCCCTAAAGGGCAATCCATCTGAAAGGTCTCTATCAGTCAGGAATCTATCACAGACCCAATTTTCCTAAGACAAAATCAGGACAAAACCACCTCCAAACATCAGCTCAGTGTAGTTTCTTATGAACACTCTGATTACAATGTATGTTAGGAACCTGGAGGTGAAAAACTGTGGCTCTGTTTTCTAACTGTATAGCTGCCTCTTGGGACAGCTTCCTATCCTATCTGAAGGTCTGTGTCTTTGAAATTCAGTCCAGTAAGCACGCAGTGAGCACCTGGGGTGGACAGGCCACTACACCAGATCAAGAGGAGTGTCAAATTGGATTCCTCTTTGAGCAAAGCTCCAAGAAGAGTGTTGGCTAAGTGTTAAAATGCAAACAGTAATTTTGTCGGCACAGTGGAAGCTCTAGCCACAAGCAAAATGACAGTCTTGATTGTCTGTAGCTAGGAATTGCTGCGGGTCACACATTGATAACTAGAGCCATGTTCCTCTTTCTTTATTTTTTTTTTTAGTTTGCTCGAAAGCACTTGTGCTGGCTAGAGAGAGAAGAAGAAACAGAAAGTGAGAAAACACCCCCTCTGGGGGATGGTCACACCACAATTCCCTCTCCTCCATTTCTCCTTTTGGGATTCTGGACACACACACAATTGCCAGTGTATTTTTCTTTCTTTCTTTCTTTTTTTTTTTTTTTAAAGTTTTTTTGCTATAGGTCACATGTGCTCACCAGAGAGACAAAAAGCAAGAAATCAAATCACCCCACTGGGAGGATGCCCACACTGCAATCCCTTCTTCTCCATTCTCTTCTCAGGATCTTGAGCACACTTGCACATGTGCCTGGCATGAGATTTAAGCCACTGGGACTGGGGTTCAAACTGGGTCAACTATATGGGAACCCAACAACATAACCATTACATCATTTGCTGGACCCTGCCAGTATGTTTTCCAGCAGAAAGGTCCAGGACTCAAACCATATGTCAACCACCACACCACCAATTGCCCCCATTTTCCCCATTTTTAAAAACAATGTTCATAAGTATTACCACTGAGAAACTGATTGCAGTTAATATATTTCTAGCAATGTATTCAAAAGGAACCTTTACACAAATAAAATCCAACCGATCCCTATGGGAAAATTAAGAGTACTTTCTAAACCTTGATATAACCTTTTCTGTTTGTTCCTGATTCTTGTATTCTTTAGAATCTTTAACTGAGGCACAGTTATTAAAAAGCCATTAGGAGGTGGTTGCAGAAAAATATCAGCAGGGTCATTTAAGTCTTAGAATAAGCTTCCTGTCTAGGGTAAATGCCCATTGATAAAAATCAGACTTCTGCTTCTTCAAGATTGTGGAAAGAAGGGATCATCACACCAAATCATAAGATCAGTCTTCTTAAGAACTATGTAGACCATCTATGGATAAAACAGAAGTAGGGGAGGAGGCATCTTACATATTTAGTGTTGTGCTTTTTTTTTTTTTAATTTCTAACTGAGAAGGGTCAATTTTCTCAGATATAAGTAATTACCAATTTCCATAATTAGTTTTTAAGCCCTTCAACAGATTTGGGTAAATGGGACATAAATTGGAAAGGGTTTGTCTTAATCTGTTTTCTGCATTGCTAACAGAAATACTTGAGACTGAGTGACTTCAAGAGAATAGAGTCTTATTTGCAAAATTTATGATTCTGGTGGCTGCAAAGTCCAAAGGCATGGGCCTGCAGCATGGCTGACGAAAGCACAGAGCATAGCAGGTATGTGCAAAAGTAAGCTGCAGGGAACTCTTACAGCAACTCTTACAGCTCTCCCAAGAATTAATCCTTTGTCACAAGAC